CTATCCTATTTTGGGGGGTTCCTTATTTTCCTTATAGTAAAATGGGCCCCAAAAGCCCTATTCTAATTCTTAAGGCCCCTACATTATAGAACCCTATTATAGATCCCTTATAGAACCCAAGGAACCCCCAAAACCCTATTCTAATTAGTAATGCCCCTACGTTAACGTTAAACTTCCCAGCTATGGGGCCCTAGAGTTCTCAAGGCCCCAATGGATCACGCAATTTGGTTCTTGGGCTTCGGGTTTAGGGTTTAGGGAAATTCTGGTTTAGGGTTTTGGGCTTAGGGTTTTCGGGCTTAAACCCTAAACCCTAAACCCCTAAACCCTTTTAGGATTTAGGGAATTCTGAAACGCATCACTTCGAGGCTCTTGCAGCTACCTTGCAGCCATGCTTTCCACAGCAGCTGCATCAAAGCCGCCTGGCACATGTTATGCGTTTAGGGTTTAGGGTTTAGGGTTTAGGTGGTCATTCTCGAAACCTTAGTAGTTAGAATATGGGAGTTTCCGAAGATAGGGGACCCTAATATGGTACCCTAAATAGTAGGATCCTTATTATAGGGGCCCCAAAATAAGTTACCTTCATTTTCGGAAACTCCCATATGGTGTTGGGACAAATCGCTGTAGAACTATAATCACGAGGACCCCTGAGCAACAACCTTATCAAAGAGATTTAGGCTGCTATAATAGTAGCCTTTAAGCAAGGGTCTTTTGCAGTATAAGTCTACTGGGACTGCAAAGGATGCTGTAACTAATTTTAACAGACTTCCATGCGGTCTTTGTAGGTTTAGACTTACAAGGGGGTTTATAGTTTAGCTTATTGAAGGGTCTTGCAAACCCTAAACCCCTAAACCCTAAACACTAAACCCAAACCAGAAAACCCTAAACCCCTAAACTTTAAAATAAACAAGAAACCCCAACCAGAAAACCCTAAACCCTAGACCCTACAAGTTAAAACAAAAAACTACACCCCGAAAACCTAAACACTAAACCCAAACCAGACCCACACGCCGACGCCCTACGTGCAAACTGTGGCCCTGCAGCCAAAGCCTGCGCCGAACACGCGGAAGCTCGAGAATTTGGGGAGAGCCCTCCACTCTTTAAAACCACAACCTGCGCTGGCGCATATTCGGC